AGGAATCATCGGCATGTACAAACCATGCACAGTTTTAATATTTTATCTTTATTTATTACAGAGACATAAATACAGCAGATTTAATATGAAGGCTAAAGCTCTCTGAAGTTATGCTGCATAGCTGTGTATGTCAGTTACTCAAATGCAGGATAATGTTTATAATAGTACTGACCTCGCTGTGCAATACAATAAACATGGTGTGCTGACTTTATCAGAACATATACAACAGCTAGTTGCAACAGTTTATTATCCCTGTGTAACGGAGCCTCTGATCAGACATGTTAATTAGGTATCAAGTTTATTTTAAATATCTTTAAATAAAGCCTGATGTTCATCAGAATGTTTCAAACATGAAGCAAAGAAGTCTTCAATTTGTCCGAGTTCATCTGCGTTTTAGTTATTTTAACATCCCTCCTGCACAGGTGATCAGCTGTTTACTCCGTGGTCATTTACCTTTTAACATCCACCAGGGTGCCAGTTAACCACGTAGTGGTAGAGTTAGTTAGTCGACATTTAGCCACATGGTAAAAAAACATAGTTTTAGAAGGTGAAACATTTTAACTTTGAAATCAACTCTCTTGCATGCACTTTGGCTTTAGAGATTTCCGGTTAGATTTCCATGTGCTATGTCAGAGAGGTAAATATAACAGAGTAGATGTCAATCTAACCTTGCCAATACTCCTCAAAGGATTACTGCCAGTATGATGGATGTTAAGAGGTTAAGAAAAACAGACGAAAAAGAAGTGGCACCTTAAATTTACTTTGTGGTACAATTTTTTTACTTTTCTAAATTTTTCAATACAGAGACTTGCTGGCTAGAATAATCAGATATATCTATATACAACATCTTATTACACACCTTTACTATCGTATTTGGTTTGTATGAAAAATAACTTATAGCCTTTATGTATTGGATCACATTTCACATACACACGACCGTGGAATGGATTCAGCTTATAAAACAGACTGCTAACTTTTGTTTTCAGTTATGTTACCTCCAAAAATCTCAGATGTGCTTTACAATAAAGAACATCCTTAATGTGATGATACAAAGAAAAAAAAAGATATCCTGACTCTTTCAGTAACTGTGACAAACTGAATTTGTAAAAAAAAGAAAGTAATGCTGACTTCCTGGCTTTGATGTTGTGCCAATGTTGCCATGGAGTTTCAGTGATGTCCCTGGAGCAGAGGCATCCACATTGTGTGTGAGCAACCAAATGTCTTATAGTCCGCACAAATCAGCCATGTAAACTAGCTTCACTTGTGTCAGAGTAATGGAAACCATCATGCACACCTGCTGAACAGACACAGGAAGCAAGTTCTGAAAGATGAGCAGAGGTTGGCGGGAGAGAAGAGGGGCGGAGATTCTGTTAGCGTCCAACGTGGAATTGCTGGCTTTTAGATTTGTGCAAGCACCTTTGGTGTTACACATCCTTCAGTCTGATGATGAGACACTACAAGATAGCCACCTACAGAAACGCAGATATACACGCTATGTCTTAGAATGTGTAACCACTTCTCAGTTCATAGGCACGCCGCTTTTAATGCACTTATTTCACAGCAGGGCCGCTCCGCTGAGTTGCTGTCCTCTCGTCTGTTTTTGGCAATGCTGTGTGTGGTCTCGTCTGACTGTGGAAAAACAACACACATCTTAAAGTCAAATTCAAAGAGGATTATTTCTGAAATACTGCTAATATAATTATAATCATTATTATTGTTTATATATCACCTATTAGAGCAGTTCGCTCTCACACTGCAGGCTTACTTGTATTTAAAAGTAGAATGGGAGGCAGAGCCTTCAGTTTTCAGGCCCCTCTCTTAAATTATATACCTGTTAGATGAATACGTTTAATTATGTAACAGTAAGGTTGAACTCCTTTGCACTGGAAAAGAACGGTGTCATGATCCTGGATCTCTGACCCTGTGTTTCAGTTTGAGTCTTTGTTTGGTTGCAGTTTAATTTTTCACTTTTGTGTATTTACTTTACATTTATGCCCAGTAGGAGGTTTTGGCTGTTTTGTACTCCCAGTCTAGTGTTTAGGTTTTTCAGCTCTCCACTTCCGTCATGTCCCCTAAGCTCCTTGTGCTGTAAAGTTAGAGGCATAAATTTGATGCATCCCCAGGATGCTCACTAAATACAGGAGGCTAAATCATTCATCCTCTGATAGACTGGCCACCTATAACAACTGCAGTAGGCTTCAGACTGCTTGTGATGGTAAGCTGGACAAGAACAGAAAAGGATGGATGGAAATATCTGTCACCGAATGTGAACAAAGCTGATGATTCACTGCTGTCTTCCAAGTATATTATGTGTTACTTCCTCTTTATGCTGTCTCTGTTCATGCTAGAACCATCTGGATGCTGTGGTGAAGTTATTTATGGCGCAGCAGAAGAGGATGGAAATTGTGCTGTTAGGTAGGTTATTTATAGTACAGCAACATTTTGGGAAGTGTAAGACATTTTAAGACCTTTTAATTTTTTTAAAGAAATAGAATAATACTGGCATACAACACATTCATTTGTTTTATTTCGTATCGCACCTCTACCTGATCTTGCAGAAGCTGATGCAGTCCACGTCGCTGTATTGTGAGCACACGCAGCGCTGAGCCTCCACCCCTATCCTCACCCGCTCGGTCCTAGCGGAGCGTCTTAAACGCAGGGAACCTTGGTAACTGGACATACCAAATGGTACTGTGTGCCTAAAAGAAGAAAAGCAGACACAATGCACTTACTGACCACAGAACTATGAGTTTTACAGCTGGAAGCATACGTCAGTGTTACAGTTTCCACATTTGCTCTGAAGTACTTTACTGGGTGATGTGAATTTTGTCATCACCTGCCCCCTGTTGTGACTGCAGAGACACTACACTACAAAGCACCAACATGCATCCTCGAGGAAGGAACAAAAGAGAACAGCTACTCTGTGTCTTCTCCAGCTGCCTGTGTGCATGTCCACAAGCAAGCACGATCGTGGCCTTGGGATGTTTATTCTCTGACTCTGCATCAAAGGGGTGCAGCTTACACTCTGTTGTGGTTTTATGAGGGTAAAGGTACTCTGTGGTGGTTCTAATTTTTGTCTTGTGATAAAAAAT